TCCCAGATGTTGTAGAACTACAAAACCTATGATGCTTTACATGCCTTTAGAATGCCTTTAGACAAAGCACCATGGAAGCTGTAATTTTAAATAATCTGGGGATCTACCTTTTGGGCACCCCTGGGCTAGAGCTTTGAACCAGAGGTGAACTCCTTGACTGGATAGGGAAGACTCCCACACTGGTAAGACTCCAAGTAGTAAGTTCATTGGAAGCTGGTAGTACTGTGCAATGTAGGACAGAGAGAGGCAGGATCTCCAATTGAATAGTATCACATACAATTAGAGAGGTGAAGATCTGAACAATAAATTAGCAAAACAAGAAATGAGGTGGGTGTTTAAATTGAAATCGCTATTCCCTAAGGGTCTGAATGCGGAATTCGAGATTTGTCATTTCTTATAATTTATTATCGATCTTTTGAACTCGTAATATCTTTTTTACTTTATTGGTTATGATGTCTAAAATTCTCTCTTCTCTTTCTCCATAGAATAAGAGGAATTTGTACCCATACGTATGTAGTTTTCAGTCTTTAGATTTTTTTTATTTAATACATTATGAAGATGCATTTTATTTGAATGTACTCACTAGTGTAACTCTACAAATATCGCTCTGTATCCTTGCCCTAACAGGAATATTAGGCTCAGAAAAAATAGAGTATGACATGAGAATGAATATGTTTCCCTTCTCTTGATCGATTGAGTAAGATCTCCTCCTGAGTCAAAGCAGCATGGAGATATTTGGTTAGTTTAGCTATGTTGCCTTTTTAGGATAACAGCATATATTTTTATATTACACTGGTCAATTGCACCATTTGTAAGAACAAAGTGCAATGTTATGGTAGTTAATATCTCTTTAAATCATCCCATTTTGGATCCAGCAATATTCCTTCTCTAATTAAGATATAAAGATGTTCTTATCAGTTTTTTTTAAATGATTTTTTATATGATTATTCCATATATATGATTATTTCTGAATGTATTAATTTTTTTATTATTTACTGTATGCATTGGAAGCTATTTCAAATTATAATGTATGTTTGCATTCATCCTGTTACTCATTGCACCTATGTTAATAGGGTTTCAATATAAAGATAAGCAATAAATTGTTTCCTGTATTACATATTTATGTGCAATAATAGGTTGGTTATTAGCCCCTAATTGAAAGTAGTTTGCTAGGTCAAATATTTATATGCTAAAATAGACTGGACATTAGTTCCTGATTGACACTTTTACAAAAGATGAACCAAGTCAGCCTTCTATGAACAAACCACGCCCTTGGACCAGAAGGGGAGGAGCAAGGCACTTAAAAGAAGGGGCTGGATAACCATGACGTTGTCAGAGGAAGCCTGAGTAGGCGAGCGAAACGTGTCACAGATACGTCACTAGAGAGGCGGATCCGGAAGTGATCACGTGATTGGGACGGACGAAACCCGGAAGTGACTTTCTGTTTTGCTGCATACATGCTTTTATGGGGGTAGCTATGTCAGCATAACTCCCCATTTGCTAAGTAAAAGTTTTTAACTTTTGTTTTTTATTAAATTGTATGTGATACTATTCAATTGGAGATCTTGCCTCTCTCTGTCCTATATTGCACAGAACTACCAGCTTCCAGTGAACTTATTACTTGGAGCCTTACCAGTGTGGGAGTCTTCCCTCTCCAATCAAGCATTTCAAACCCAGAGCCAAGGGTGATAGGGCTCTGGTAAATGTGAGTTTTTTTTTCCCCTTACCTCCCTCCTTACCTAATTACATATTTTGGTTTAGATAGTCTGCACTATTCTATGTGTTTTTCATATTTACAGATTCTATTCATCAGTTTAGCGCACTCTTTTTGATAAACATTTATCTGTATTCTGTGCATACTTCTGTATCACTGGGGTGGAGTGCTGCCATACTGAATGTGTTATATTCTATAGCGCTCACATATTATTGTTTTTTTCAGAGGTGAACTCCATTGGTTGAAAGGCAACGATCCACATTGTAGTAGCAAAACTCACCATTATTAAGTTTAGGCTACTACAGTGGACTTAACTAACAAGTCTAGAGTAGGTAGCAGGTACCATGTGTGTAGTAGGAGTTAATGAATGAGTTTAGTGTAATTTCTTTATGGTCTGGGTTTGGTGTGGTAGAGATTTATTAATTGAGGCATTAAATATAAATTAATAAACCTAAGCATAGGATTCTAATGGTATGTAATTCAGTTTACCATGGGTGAGGAGAGGGGCAAAAACATATTGCACCAGGATCGTCTCTTCCCTAGATCCACCACAGCACAAATCATACAAATAATATTCCATATAGTATAGTTTACCTTTATAGTTATATATTATATTTTGCCCACAAGAATCGTTTGGATCATGAAAAATGTATGGCTTCAAAAAACATCAATCCAGATGATGAATGTTGCACAGAGCTTGTAAAGAAACATTTTAACACAAACAGATCTTTAATTAGTTTTAGATGGATAAGAAATCAGAAGAAATAATCAATAGTGAAAGCTTGTATGTATACAATATTATCCCAGTTTAGCAGAAGGAGCTTCATGTGTTTTTTGATGAATTCCTATTCAACCTGCAAACTTAAATAAATGAATCTTCAGTTGATGACGGTCAGAGAATACCATTCTGACCTTTTATGAGATTCTTTTGAATCATTCTTCTAAAAGACCATAGAATTTTTTTATTTTTTTTCCCCTCCTAAGTAGAAACTCCTAAATCAACTTAGGACAAAGGAATGACACCAAGCCTTTCTTGGTTAACATTGTCAGATGTTATCCAGTTTATAAACAGTTCTGTCCAATCATTATAGTATAATTTAAATTTCAAAAGTACAAAAGAAACTATTTCAGGGGTTGTATTGTCCTCTGACAGCTTAGCTGGTTTCTGATGGTAAATTGTTAAAAAAGTGTAGTAATATGTTTTACTCACACAAACGACTTTCAAAATTCAAAGACCATTCGGGAAAATCTACCGAACATCTTTAATATTTCAAACAAGTCCATAGAATGTCCTGCAACAAACGTAAAAAGCTGTTATAAGGTGACAAATAAAAGAATAAATTAAATTCAGGGCAGTTTTAATCTGACTTACTTAGCGTGTAGGTCAATGGTGGCATTGAGTAGTATTGGCGATATAGATATCTCTTGCAGTTATCTTTTGTATTAAATTGGGCATTCAGGGCACCAATACAATTTTAATGGATTTGATTTATTTTGGCCTCATTAATATGCTGTATTTTTTGCATGCTCAATTCATTAGTTTTTTCACAAAAAAAAGCTTTTGCAGAATTCTACACAATAAGCCTTAGCTCCTTAGAAATGCTGTTTTAAATGTATGCACACAGTCTTAGCCTCAATTCACAATCTGACTGCAGACAGTCAGAGAAACTATAAAGAGGTAGTGATATTGAGTGGTGGAACTAATGTTAAGAGGGCCCTGGTGCAATATTTATTTTGGCCCCCCTCTAACACAAGGATGGCTAAAAGGTAGATCCTCAACTTTCATGCAACTCCCACAATGCTCTGCCAACTGGAGATCTACCATTTTTCCATCCTTGCAGGGTTGTATTTGCGAGCACGGTATGTATGTTTGAATGTAAGCAGGTTTTGAATGGAGTATGTGTGTTTTTGAATGTACTAGTGTTTGTATGTACCGTTGCCATATGATAGTAGTGGTGTGTTTGTATGTAGTGTTGGCATTTACATGAAGTTGTGTATTTGTGTATAGTGTTGGCATTGGAATGCAGGGGTGTATTTGTGTATTTTTTTGGTGTTTAAATGCCTGGATGTATTGACATATTCACATATACTGCCACACACAAATACACACAGATACTGACATAAATACACATACACACTGACACACACACACATACTGACACAGATACACAAACATACTGTCACACATATAGATACACACCCATACTGGCACACATTACACTGACACACAGATATACTCAAATACTGACAGAGATGGAAATACAAACTGAAAAATACACAGCTTTACACACATACTGACAAAGATACACAAACTTATATGTAGATATGTACAAACTAATACATACACACACTGATATGCACATATACTGACATAGATACACATACACACATACACATACTGACAGAGATACACACATACTCACACAGATACACAAACACACACATAAACACTCATACTCACACAGATATACATATACATACACACTGACAGATACATACACTCAGTGACCCATAAACACACTCAGTGACCCCCACACTTACCCACACACACACTCATGGGCCCCCACACATGTCAGCTGTCACTTCCTCCCAACTTTATTAGTCTCACACTAGTATCAATGACACTCCCACACAGGCACTGCAAGGGTAAAGCCAGACAATCCCTGCCTTTTGGTCAATCTACCTTAGTAGCTGAAGCCAAAGTATCTAGACAAATCCTGCCTGGAAATATAGTTGTTTTATTGCTGTAACGTACAACCCAACACAAAGAGTGATAATAAACGGAGACAGATAGAAAGTCCCTAAACCAGTCCTTAGAATGGCCAGAAAAAATAATAATATAATTGAAGCAGAGTCAGAAGGAGCCAAGGTCGAGGGAAGCCAGAAATATACTAACACGAGAGACAAAAGCCAAGTCAGGGGAGCCAGAAAAACACAAGAATGAGTAACAAAGCCGAGTCAATGGAGCCAGGAAACAGAGTTTGTTATAACTGGTATTAAAGCACATAACAAATTTGCTCAGTGCAATGGCCACAATCTCAACAAACTGGAATATTTTTGAATTCCAACTTCAAGCTATGATTAGTAATTTTATGTCAATGCCTGATTTCATTAATGATCCAATAGTGTGTGACAGGTAGTAATT